TCGCGCGCGTCAGGGCGCGGCCGCGCTCGCCGCGTGCATCTCGCCGGCGTTGGTGCTGTTCTGCCGCGCGACATGGGGCGCGCCGCTGCCCCCGCCTCGCCGGCCGCGCCGACGCGGGCAATTTTGTTCGCGCGCGTCGGCGCGGCCGCGCCCGGCCTGCAAATTGCGTCGGCGCGGCTGCGCGCGCGCTGTAAAACGCGCGGTGGCGGCGGCGCGCGTTTCGTCCATCGAATTGGCCCGGGCGCGCATGCGGCGCGCATCTCGTCGCCGCGGGCGAGTTGCGTCGCGCGCGCCGGCGCGCCTGGGCCCCGTTGATTAATTGCGCTCGCGCCGCCGCGGGCGCGGCACATCGCGTCGGCGCGGGCGACGTTCATCGCGCGCGCCTGCGGGCCCGCGCCCGGGGCCCAGTCCGGAGCCCCGTCAAACTTCCAAGTGGGGGCAAACTTTCTTCAGTTTTTTTCAACGTTTTCCAGATTTCTTTCGAATTTCCAAATCGGGGCGCACTTAAAAAAACTTTCTCCGAACTTCTAGATCGGGGCAAACTGTTCAAACTTTGTCAAACGTTCAATGTGGGGCAAAGTTTGTCCAAACTGTTTGCTCGATTGTTCTTCAAATTTCTTTCGAACTTCCAAATCGGGGAAAACTTTGCCCACGCTGTTTTCAAACTTTTCCCGAGCGCCCAAATCGGGGCAAACTTTTTTTCCAAGCGTGTTTCTTCCCATTGCGTTTCAAGCTTGTTTCTAGATCTTTTCTTGATTACCAAACTTTGCTCACTTCTTTTGAGACGGAACTTGTTTCGATCTGTTATGAAACTTCTAGGGGCGCATTCCCCATGCGTTGTTTGGATTTTTTTACAGAATTTTCAATTCGGGGCAAATTTTGTTCAAACTGTGCTTCTATTTGTCCAACTTTTTTCCAAACTCCCAAATTTCCCAAACCGGGGCAAAGTTTTCAATTATTTTCACAAGTCCAAATCGGGGCAGACTTCCTACACGCGTGTTTTTTATCTTTTGCGGAGCTTCCAAATCGGGACAATGTGTTTCCATTTTTTTTTTTTTTTTTTTTTTTTTTTTTTTTTCCGATCGTTTTCAATTTTTTCCCGAATTTCCAAGCCGGGCAGAATGGGCGATGCGCCCCTGAGCATGGCCTTCGCAAAATTTCGTGTGTTCGGGGCGCGATTGGGCGGGCTGCGGCCCTTGGCGCCGTTCCGGTTCTTCTTCGGCGCGTCAGGCGACCCACTCGAGCGTGACCTGGCCAGGCCCCCGAGAGCCTGGGGCAAGACGGATACAGTGAGAGAGGTTTTCGTTGGGCGCTCGGGATGTCCGCGTGCTCCTATTCCAGGCTTCCAGGGAGGAGTCGAAACACCTGGGGTCGAAGGGTCGCTGTCGGCGTATCCAAAGTGTGCACCACGAGAAGGCACATCGGCCTTTCAAAAGGCGCGAGCCTGCCCCGAGGCCGACATATAACTGCGTCACGTCTAGGATGTACTCCATCTGCATGGCGCTTCCACTTCTCGAACACGAACGATTCGAAGAAATCGCCCGCGCCCCGGGCCTTGATGTCGCGCTGTACCTTGCGCCCCCACCCTCTCTGCATCACGTCACGCTTGCCTCGTGCAAGGGTAACATGGTAGCGTTGCCGCTGGCTGGCTGGCCGCGTATGTTATGCTCTCCGACATTTGTGGCGCCCCATGTGCGCTCTGCCAGGCGAATCTGTTGTTCTGACCCAAGCAATGTCGCAATGAGCGCGCTGCCCAGCAGGCACTTCAGGGGCGTCCACGATTGACTCCTCCACCATGCGCGCCCAGCTGGCGAACCTGCCCCAGAGTTTTTTGTTCCTCGTCCTCGCGGCCCGGGAAGACGACGCGACTGGTCAGGTAGTCGACGGGCTTCGTGTGAGGAGGGCGCGACTCGGTAGCAGTCTGCCGCCAGCTGTCCGCCGTGAGGTGGAAGCCGTCTGTGGGCACGCGGGCAGGCTCCTCCACCGCCAAGTTGTGCACCGGCGCATCCTGATGGTCCACGCGGAACCCCCGGCGGCGCTGGGGTTTCCTACAGCCGGTCCACTGAAGAAAGAACGTTTTTTGTTTGGGAGGGGCTCAGTGTTCCTTCATGATTGCACAGTTCGTCATATGTTTTTTTGGGTGTTCTATGGGAAATCCAAGTTTAACTTATGGGAAACAGGGGCCTCGTTCCTCACTGATGGTGCCTTATGACAGCGTTTCGATTGCATTACTGATCTTATTCGGACGCGTGGTCCGAGGGAACATTCGGGGCGTTGCCAGGCACCGCACTTACCACTCACGGCAGGACCCCCTGCAGCGTAATGTGGAGCCAACAGCGCATTCACCATGGGACTTTCAGCGCTGACTCCACTCTCACGTTTGGCGCGAAGTCTTCCTGAATCAGACCACAGAGAGTGTATGAATGAGGAACCTCTTGTCCCCCATCGTGCAGTCAACCGCGTGCGCCGCTGCGTGAGGATGCTTTCCCCGACCTTGCGGGGGGAACCTCATCTTGATCAGCTGCGACGGCTCCACGTTCCTTTCCGCCGCCACGAACCAGGGGTCCCCTGTGGCGTGAAGGAAGCCCGCCAACGCCGCCAGCTCCTCCTGGCTTGGCGAGTCCTTCACGGTTTCGGCGCCATGTATGCCGAGACCCGCGGCAATTGCCCGCCTTCGCACGGATCGTGATAGCCGCGAAGTTTTTGAACGGGCCCATTTTGCCAGTCTGCAGCGCTGCCGCGGGCACACGCTCAAAGGATGTCGACTGCACGTGCCTCCTCGCAGCCATCATTTTGACGCCGCTGCTGCCATCCTCGCTGCGCCCTGTGCGCAGCCACAGCGGCTGCTGCCTTCCGGCCGTTCTTCTTCAGGTGCTTGAAGAGATTGCTCTCCTATGGCTGGGTGACGTGGGTCGCGCACATCGTCATCACCGAGGTGTTCGGGTTCGTCTCGTGATACTCGTTTGTGTATATCTGGGCCTGTGGGCTCCGCTTCTCGGTGCTCGCGAAGAAGATCTGCGTGTCGACCTGGCTGCCACCCTTGCTTCGGCACGCCCGCTGCTCCGCCGCCGCTGCTGGTGGCAGGTGCAGCAGCATCATTAGCTGCAGCAGCAGCAGGGCCATGAGCCTCAGCACGGGCCCCTTTCCCCTTAACCCTTGCACGCCTCGGCGAGCGCACGCGGCATCGAACTTGGCCTGGGAGGCGGCAGGGCCCTCGCCGAGCTTCTGGGCGGCGTCCGCGTCGGCAGCTGCGGCCGCTGGCGTTGGCTCGTGGCCACCCGCCGCCAGCTCCTTCCTCCTCTGCGTCGGAGCCTGCCGCTTTCGCCACTGCCCTGGCTGTGCCTCCCGCCAGCTTCCACTTCTCCTGCAGCTCCTTGCGCAGGTTGGGGCGGGACTCCGTGTGCCCCAGCAGCTGCGCCTGTCGCTCCTCGGCCGAAGGGTTTGGGCCAGCGGCGCCCCGTGGACCTGCGGCACCTGCTGGCCCTGCTGCTGGATCGGCACCGTGTCCTTGGAGGCTTGGACTGCCATCCCTCTCCGCCACGCCTGCGCACCCTTCCAGCTTGCGCTCCAGGAGACGCCCGTCGACGTCGAAGTCCAGGATGGAGTCTGCCTCGGGCGTTTTCTCCCGCAGCGCTGGCCCCGTCCCCTCGACGGACTGCAGTGGGCCTCCGGGGCCCGCTGCGCGACTTGTCCGCGTAGGCGGCGTCCTCCAACGCCGTTTGTCCGCTTCTGCTCCGAGGCCTCCCTGCGCTTCGAGCTGCGGTCCAGCTCGTGCGTCGCCCGGGCCGGCGCTGCCTGCGTCTTCTGCTGGTGGCGCTGCGCCTCGGTGAGGGCCTGCCGCGGCTCGGCCCGGGGGTCCGGCGAGGGCGGCGGCGCACATCCCTTCTCGAGGCCCCGCAGCTCCTTCGCCGTGGCAGGGCAGCCCTTGGCGATAAGCGCGATGCCTCTGTCCATGCCGCCATCCTTCCCACTGGCCACTGCAGGCGTGGGCCATTGTTCCTTGTCCTTTCTTCGTGTCAAACACTCCTCGCGGCCATGCTTGGTCAATACATCCTCTGGTGTTCTGTGGTCAGACCGCAACGAAATCTACAGCTAGCCCTGCAGCCGATGGTCATTTCAAGCTATGCGTCGGAGCTAAGACCAAACTGCCAGGGTTGGGCCAGAGCTGCGACGGCGGCGAGGAAGTGGTCTCCTCGTCATTGGCCCCCACCCAGCAGACGTAGATGCACCAGCCCTTCCGCTTGCGGAGCCAAGCCCCCACAATCTCCACGTACCAGATTCGCGTCCCGACGACCGTCATCCCGCCTCACCGCAACTGAATTGCAGGTGTTGCCGCGAAACGAGTGCTTCCCTGGGAGCTCGCACAGAATATGGACTTGCTCCCGCAGGGCAACACACACGAGGTCTGTGCACGTACCAGTGCAGACACTTCCGCCTGGAGGCTGGGCCCCCTCCCCCCCCCCAGGAAAACATCTTGAGCCAGAACGGCTCTGGAAAAGGAGGAGGGGGGAAGGATAGGGAGGAGGACAATGCGGTGGGAGGAAGAGAGGGGTTTAAGGATGATGATGAGGAGGAGGAGGAAGAAGAGGAGGAGGAGGAGGAGGAGGAGGAAGAGGAGGAGAAGGAGGAGGAGGAGGAGGAGGGAGAGTTGGAGAAGGAGGGGGAGGGGGAGGGGGAGGAGGGGGAGGAGGGGGAGGAGGAGGAGGAGGAGGAGGAGGAGGAGGAGGAGGAGGAAGAGGAGATGTTGTTGCAGGAGCCCTCATCGTTTGTTCCTCCTCTTCCTCCGCCTCCAGAGGTTTCTGGTGCCTCGGGAGCTTTCCGAGGTCCCCAGAGTTTCCAGGAGCTCCCTGGGAGCCTCCGAAGGTCAACCCCGGATGCCTCTGGTGCGCGCGATCCCGATTTCGTCCGATGGACTATCTGCCGATCCGTTGACGACGTTTCAGTCACAGGGAGGGTGGGCCCGTGCTGTGGTGACCGAGTCATCGCGGAGATATCTGGCGATGGGCCTCTTTTATGATCACCTCATCCTCCCCTCTGTGCTCGACCGTCCCAGCGTCCCGGCGCCAGGTCGACCGCCGACGCTGCTGCTCTGTCCCGGTTTTAGTGCGCTGGAGTCGAGCTTATAAACTACGTTGGCCGTAACTTTTGACGCCCGTGGAAAGAGGAACAAGAAACATTATATCTGATGTCATTCCCTTCCCTGAGTGAGTGAGGAAGACGAGGGGGTGCAGGAGGACGAGCACAGGGCCAGAGCGAGGCGGGTGCACTTTGACGATCAGAGACATTTTGTCGCCTCTTGTTCGACGAGGAGGAAGGCAGAGGGAGGGACGGTGGAGGAAGGTAGTTGCTGTTTAGTCAAGTGGCTGTTGTGGTGGTTCTCCTCTCCTCCCCCCTTCGCCCCCATCTTTCGCTGCGAGCCGTCTGACTGTGGCTTCGGAGGCGTCAAATGAAAACGAAAAGAGGAGGAAGAGGAGGAGGAGACAGGGAAGGCAGGATGACGAGGAGGAGGAGGAGGAGGAGTGACGGGGGGGGGAGGGGCGGAAGAAGCAGAAGCAGGAGGCGCCCCCGCCCCAGGACCCCTCCCAGCGGTCACCTTGGCAAGCTTTTCGAGCCGCTTCCAGCCGTGGGTCCGAGAGCCTCCAGAAGCGGCCAATTACCCTGGCGAAGGACCCCACCATGTGCAGTTGTGGGTACCGCAATTGTGAATATCTTCTTCGGTGAAGCCCCCATATGGGGCCACGAAGCGCTGCACTGGGTGGGGGGAGGACGCATGCGGGCGGTAGCGCTGGGCCCGTCGGTAGAGCTCCCCATGGGGCCACGCAACGCTGTACTGGGTGTGTGAAAATGCCAAATTCGGTTTTCGGGACGCCTGCGGACGGTCCCACTGGGGGCTTCTGTGGATCTTCCTCTGGGGCCACGACAGTTTTGTATTGGGTGGGTGAAAGAATGCCAAATTGGGCGTGTGGGACCCATGGAGGCGGTCCCACTGGGGGTTTCGGTGGAGCTCCCAATGGGGCCACGAAACGCTGTACTGGGTATGTGAAAATGCCAAAGTAGGTTTTCGGGACGCATGCGGACGGTCCCACTGGGGGCATCGGTGGAGCTCACTGTGGGGTCACGGAGCGCTGTACTGGGTAAGTGAACATGTCGGGACGCATGCTGGCGGTCCCACCGGGGGCTTCGGTGGATTTTTTATGGGGCCACGGAACGCTGTATTGGGTAGGTCAAAGTGCTATATTGTGTGTTTGTGTGTGAGCGGGACGCACGCGGGCGCTCCCACTGGGGGCTTCGGTGGAGCTCCCTATGGGGCCACGAAGCGCTGTACTGGGTGGGTGAACATGCTAAATTGGGTTTTCAGGGCGCATGCGGACGGTGGCACTGGGGCTTTCGGTGGAGTTTCCCATGGGGCCACGAAACGCCGTACTGGGTGGGTCAAACGCAGGGAGGAGGGAGGACGGGGCCACAAAACGCTGTGCTGGGTGTGCGGGACGCATGCGGGCGGTCCCGCTGGGACCTTCGGTGGGGCCCCCTTATGGGGCCACGAAACGTTGTGCTGGGTGGGTGAAACGCAGGCTGGAGGGAAGACGGGGCAACGAAACGCTGTACTGGGTGTGCGGGACGCATGCGGGCGGTCCCACTGGGACCTTCGGTTGGCCACGAAAGGTTGTACTAGGTGGGTGAAAGGCAGGGAGGAGGGAGGAGGGGGAGGGAGGAGGGAGGAGGGGAGGAGGAGAGGAGGAGGAGAGGAGGAGGAGAGGAGAGGAGAGGAGAGGAGAGGAGAGGAGAGGAGAGGAGAGGAGAGGAGAGGAGAGAGGAACGCGGGGCACCGTCTCTTCAAAACGAGGACCCAACACCACATAATGGTTGGGACACAGTTTCAAGACGACGACGTCGTCGACGGGGCAGGATGGGGTGCGTCCATGCGTGGGTCGACGAGTGCCTCCAGAAACGCCCCAAAGACCTCTAGACTTAGGCGTGCCCTATAATGTGTTCGGGAGGGTGAAACAAACATGTTCGCGGCCAGATGTTCGCAAACGGTTGGTCAACGGTTCGGAACCATTTGCTCGCGAATTCCAAGTCCCAAAGGCCCCTAAGGGGGCTTTGTCCACGGCTGCTCGGTTGAGGGGGGGAGAAAGGATGTTCAAGGCAAATGGTTCGTAAACAGTTCGGGAGGCAGCATTCGCACACGATGTTCAGGTCAGCCTTGGCTCTGGACTCCAGAATTCAGGAGTGAAACGAAAATATGGGAAAATATGGGAAGTGGGGGGGAAGACGAAACTCGAGAACACATGGGAAAACGTTGGGAATCCTGGGATGTGTCTCCCTTTATTTGTGTGTCCCTGGGCACTTTCAACGACGTCGTCCTCGCTGTCGTCGACGGGCAGGCCGGGATTTTCATCCTCCTCCTCCTCCTCCTCTTCTCCTCCTCCTCCTCTCACTCGGCGTCGTGCGCGTCTGTCCCGCCCGCTGTGTAAGGAAGAGCACGGTGTTCAAGTGAAACCGTGTCCTCGTTTGTGCCACGCCTCCCCAGCCGTGCCAAGATGTCTTCTAACCTGGTCTTAGGTGCGTGACGGAATCCGTGTTTTGACCTCGGGTGTTGAAGAATGTTGTCCGCTCGCATCTTTCCCGGCCTTAGCTCAAAAAAACACCCAGACCCGATAACCGGCGCTGATTTGTTGGCCCTGGGCGTTTACCAAACAGCCCTGCCCTGTTCGATTCCTTTTTGGGGTGCGTCTACTAAACGGCCTCGCGTGTCGGGGTGATTATTGCGAAGGCCTGACGGCTGGTGCCGCCGACCCTGAAGAGGACCACGCAGTCGGCGACGAAGTGGGCGGAGACGGAGGCCGTGGAAGATGAGGAGGAGGAAGCGAGGAGGAGGGTGAGGATGAGGAGAAGAAAGAGGAGGAGGACGAGGAGGAGGAGGAGGAGGAGGAGGAGGAGGAGGAGGAGGAGGAGGGAGGAGGAGGAGGAGGAGGAGGAGGAGGGAGAAGGAGGGCTGCTCTCTCTTACCGCCCGCTGGCCGGACACGTGCGTTTGGCCCCTCCGAGCGTGGCACGCCGGGCGCCCGGCCGCTGCGTGCCGGGGGCCGCCCTCCGCCGGGGCGGCGGCCCCCCGAGCCGAGCGAGGGGCGGTCCCAGAGATGCAACGCATGGAAAGGATCAAGACGGAGGCGTTTCGCCCTTTTCGGCCTCTATGGGGGTCCTCGCCGGGCCCCAGGACCGTCAAACAACGACTCAGGATGAGAAACCGGTCCCCGGGAAGGGGTCGAGACTTCTGGGGACCCCGCATTGAAAAAATCACGGCATCAGATCTATGGGGTCGCCGCCCCGCCAGGCAGCTTCGACAAGACCGCCAAGATCTGGGACTGCAACACCGGGCAGGTGCTCCACACGCTGAAGGCGCGAGGGGCCACCATCACAGGGGGATGCGAGGTCCCTGGAGGCGGGACGGGGTGGGCACGGGTTGGAGTCACAAGCTGGCCCACCACCAGGAAGGAGCATCATGGCTTCTACGTTCTACGTCAGCACACAGGACTGATCCACTGACGGGTCCAATTCATCCTCCGTTCACTTGCATCAAGTTCATGCGAGGCAGCATGCTCCCCCCTCGCGTTGTGAACAAAATCACGACGGAGGTTTTGGGCCATGTTCGGCCTCCCGGGGCCCTCAGCGGGCCCAGGCACCGTCAAAGAACGACTCGGGATGAACAACCGGTTCCGGGGAAGGGGTCCAGGCCTCTGGGTGCGACCTTGTGACAAAAATCACGACGTCGAGAGTCTGGGGGTCGGGGCCTCCCAGATGGCGTCGGAGTAGATGGGGTCGGAGCGTCGCGCCGCATCGCCGATGCATCGCCGATGCGGCTCGATGCGGAGGCTGATCTTCTCCACGCTGGCGTCGCCGATGCATCGCCGACGTCGCTGATGCATCGCCGATGCATCGGCGATGCATCGGCGACGCAGTGCAATCCTCGGACCCCATCTACTCGGACCCCATCTAGGAGGCCTCTTGAGGGGGCTGGGATTTTCTGAAGTCTTCTGGGCCTTTCCTCGGTGCTCGGCGGTTCCCCAGGCCGGGGGTGCACGCCAGCAGCTGCGCCTCGTCGAGGGCTTTCTCTTGGGTGCCAGAGTCGTTCCAAACGGCTGCCAGAGAGCCGAGTTTGGGCCCGAAAACTACATTGCACGGATATGGGGGGATAGACATAGGGGGGATGCATCGACCCCCCGTCGCCCATTGATCGCCGATATGGGGCCCGATAGCCCCAACCTGCCCAGGAAGGTGCGGATTGATTATCGGAGGCCTATCGCCGATTTATCGGCGACGTATCGCTGATTCCAGGTAGACGCATCCCCTCATATGACAGTCGCCCCGTGTCGTTGCCCCTCAGAAGGGGGGGGGACGGGTACGGGTACGGTCAGAAACTTTGGCTCAGCGTGTCGCGTCGCTGGTTCTGGCCCACCGCGCGTCGGCGCGACACGCTATCCACTTTTCCAGTCCCAGGCGTTAACGTCCCGAGAATTTCCCGACCTCCCAGTCCGCGGAGCGGAGCGACACGCTATCCGCTTGCAAGGCGTCGCGCGTCACAGGGGCCGCCGCCGCGACACGCTGAGCAAAAGTTCCTGATCGTAAGGGTGGGAGGTCCGAAGGTCAAGCCTTTGGACATGCTCCAGGCCGTGTGGGCCTCAGAGTTTTGGCCAGAAAGCCTTCCTGGGGGCAATTGCTCGGAGCGTTCGTGCAAGAGCATGTCAGACTGGTTGCACGGCAGTGTGATGTTCCCCTCAGAGGGCGGCCACGACGGAGTCGTAGACGAGCGCGAGCAAGAGGCACATCACCACGGCCCCACGGCCTCGGCGAGCACGCCACGGCATCCGAGACGAAGGCCGCCGAGACCACGACGCGAGCAGCGAGGGAGATCACCTCCGCGCCCGAGGACACGACAAGTCCGACGGTCTCTGCGGCGGGCCCCCGCCAGGAGCGACAGCGGCAGCAGCAGCATCTGCATCGGCGACCGCCGCTCGACCACAGCCTTCACGAGCGCAAGAGACGCGTGCGGATTGGCCTGCGCCGTCCGGGAGTTGTCGTCATCCCAGGCGGCATCGGTGCACGAGCCATGGAGCTTCCCGCGTTCGGGCGAAGGACGGTGCTCCGACCTCGCGGCGGATCGCACTCATGCTTGCGACAGGTCGGCGTCCACGTCAGCTGCACCCAGGATCCATCAACGATTCACGATGCACGGCAGCCAGGCGTCGGGGTCGTCTTTCTTCTGCAAGTGCCCTTGCGAGTGCCCACGCCCGTGGTGCTGGGTCGCAGCCTGCACGGGCCCACCGTTCACGCAGTCGACCACGCGTCCGCCGACCACGGCATGGCCTGGCGGAGAGAAGGAACGCCGCGTGGGGCCAGCATGGGCGCCCGACGCGGCCCGCGGCCCCTCCGTGCCCAGCGCGTCCCCCCTCGTCCTGCCCTCCGGTCTCCGCTGCTTGCGAGACGGTTTTTGTTTAGATTCAGGCGAGTTGGTTTGCATCCCCCGGGGGGGAGGGCGGCGCGGCCCCAGCGAGCGAGCCAGAAGCAACTTGCACGTTTGGGGGGGGGCTCCATGCCGACGCAAGGGCAAGTGCAAATGCAAGTAGAACTTCCAGGCAAGTTGATTTGGAGAATGCAGCGATTTGATGCCCCAACGGCCTCTTGCACTTGCACCCTGGGGGGGGCGGCGAGAATCACGCAAGTCGAAAGGCACATGCACGCTAGTACTTGTGTGAAGAGGTGCGAAGGGGGGGGGAGGCAAACGCCATACAAGTAAACTTGCCTGAATCTAAGACCCCCGACGCCGTCATTTTTTCGCAATGTCCACCCCCAGAGGCCTGGACCCCTTCCCCGGGACGTGTTTGTCATCCTGAGTCGTGTTTTGACGGTCCCGGGGCCCGCCGAGAGCCCCGGTTGGCCGAAAGTGGCCAAAACCTCCGTCGTGATTTTGCTGGCAGCGCGAGGGGGGCCTGGGTCGTCGCCTTGAGGCTCGCCGGCAGGGGCCCTCCGCCGTCGCGTCCGCGCCACCGCCCGCTCCGAGCTCCCTATGGGGCCACGAAGCGCTGCCCTGGGTGGGGGAACCGCATGCGAGAGCAGCCACTGGGGCCTTCGGTGGAGCTCCCTATGGGGCCACGAAACGCTGCCCTGGGTGGGGGAACCGCATGCGAGAGCAGCCACTGGGGCCTTCGGTGGAGCTCCCTATGGGGCCACGAAACGCTGCCCTGGGTGGGGGAACCGCATGCGAGAGCAACCACTGGGGCCTTCGGTGGAGCTCCCTATAGGGCTACGAAACGTGTGAGAGGTGTGCCGAGAGCAGAGGCAATGAGGGGGAGGAGGGAGGAGGGGGAGGGAGAAGCGGGAGGAGGAAGGAACGCGGGGCGCTGTCTCTTCAAAACGAGGACCCAACACCACAGGATGGTTGGGAAAAACATCCAGGCGAGCTGGCACGACCGCCGGCCGAAAGCGACCAGACGGGCCGGACACGACGGCAGGCCCGCACAGCGTCTGATCTGTGTGCCCAAGCGTATCTCGGAGGAGCGGGGAGCAGGAGACGCAGGAGCGAGGAGGAGGGGAAGGGCGAGGAGGACGAGGAGAAGCGACGAGGAGGACGAAGAAGGCAGGCGCGAAAGAGGAGCGAGGAGGAGGAGGGGGAGGAGGAGGAGGAGGAGGAGGAGGGGCGATGAGCAAAGAGGGGCAGTGAGGAGGAGCCCAGGAGGATGTGGAGCGAAGAAGTGGAGGATGAGGGGGAGGTGGAAAAAGAGAAGAAGTTTAGGAATGAAAACAGGAATCAGCAGTACGCAGCAGCATCCACAAGCACGCAGCACCAATGAGAAGCAAGCAGCGCCACATAGCATCGAGCAGTCGCGACTGACGGCGGTGGGCAGCATCAGCAACAAGGGGCTAACATTGAAGCGCTTTCCGGTGTGCCCGAGAGGTGTTTTGCATGTCCCAGGAGAGTCCACGGGTGCAGTGCACGGAGCCACCCCCAACACGGGTTTCGCATGCAGTTTAAACTCTGTCCCTCCAAGCTCTGCAAACCTGTGAAGCCCAACGCGGCTCTGGCCACCCTCCTGCCCCAACGCTCCCGCAGGTGGCCCGCCGAATCCAACCGCTTCGCGAGTTCCGCCGGCCTGTGGCGATTGGGGACTTGGTGGGTGGCAGTAGTTCTCTCAAGCAGTGTTGTGGAGCTCGCGGGGGGTAGAACCAGTCACTGGGTAGATTGAGGGCAACACTCAAAGGAACACGTCCCCACCCACATTCTACCATTTCAGCCCAGCAGCACGAGACTGCAGCATCATGTAGCGCATGGGGACTAGAGGCATATGTCTTATAATGTTCTGGGCCCCTTCGTGTGCTCTGGACGGTTCCTGTGGGCTTTCCTGGAACCTCTCACGGGGCTCCTTGAGGCCTCTTCGAGGTTGTCTTGAACCATCTCGGGCCCCCTAGGCGCTACATTGGAACTCTTTCGGCCCATCGTGGAACCTTCCACCAATTGATCCCTGCTCTTGCGCCGTTGTCGGGCCATCTTGGAGCGCTCCTGTGGCGGTCTGGAGGATGCTGCAGCCTTCTTGCAGCCCTCATGAGACCCTGTTGGGGATCTTCGGAGCGCTTGTGGAGCCCTTCTGGGCTCTACCTGGGACGATCTCAGGCGATCTTGGAGCCATTTTGAGGCTCAAGAGGCCCATCGGAAGCGCAAGTGTGAGAACGCCACAACCATTGAAAAACATGTTCTCAAATGATGCTGTCTTCTTCGGGAACTTGTAGTGGCCACTTGAGGGCTGTCTTGGACCTTTAAGGGCCACCTTGAGGCTATCTTGGGGCCTCTTGGTGCTGTCTTGGAACCGTCTTGGGGCCTGCCATCCATGATTATCCTCTCTTGGGACCTCTTGGAGCTCCTGAGGGGCGATCCTGGGGCTGTCCTCGGGTGTCCTGAAGGCCGCTCCCAGGAGTTCTGGCATCTCAGCTCCGACATGACCAGGGTACTTTTTCTCTGGGGACCCTCAGGGGTCCCTCCTCGCGCGCGCGAATGTGCAACATACAACTAGTAACTCTGAACCTCTGACTGGCGATTCTAGCATGGCTTTAGCTCGCTGGTCCAGGGAATTTCCTCCACCCCATCCTCCGCCTTGCTGCCCTTCCTTCTTGCCTTCTCTCTCCTGCTCCGCTGGCCCCGCATCCGTCTCCCGCTCCCCCGGGACCCCCGCCCTCCCCCCCTGGGCCTCGGTGGCTCGCTCGGCCGTCTGTGCCTCTGCCGTGCGCCCTCCGTGGCCCTCGCTTTTGTCGTCTTCTCCAGCCCTCCTTCGGTCCCCGCTCGCCTCTTGCGCCGAGCGTTGTGGGAGTTGGCGCTCGGCCCTGACCCACGTCCAAACACGGTAGGTTCGTGCGGCGTTGGCGCGCCCGCGACGCCGGCGAAGGCGTTCAAGGTTGAATTCTGCGACGCGGAAGCACCGGTTAACACAGTAACGCCACTGGAACCCGACCGGATTTACCTCGCACGATCGGGGTCGCGATCGATTCAAGAATGAACGATGGGCGCGGTTTCAAAAACCTCTGCGCACGCCGACGCCGCACGAACCTACCGTAAGATCCCCTTTCCATCTCCCGTCCGCCTTCCAGCTTCCCCCGCCTCCGGCCCAGCCATCTCCCGCCGCCCGTGCTCCTTCGGGAACACGAGCATCCGGAAACCGCCGAGAAGATCACACCGCCTCGGGGTTTCTCCCGAACAGCGCCGAGCTCCTCCAGAGTCTGCTCGAAGCCCTTGTTGCTCCTCCTCCGCCTCCGCCTCCGTTCCCTTCCTCCTCCTCGTCCTTCTTTCTCCTCCTCCTCCTCCTCCTCCTCCTCCTCCTCCTCCGCCTCCTTTCCCTTCCTCCTGCTCCTCCTCCTCCTCCTCCTTCTCCTCCTCCTCTTCCTACTCAGTGTCAGTCGGCCTCCGACGTCGTGGCTTTTCGCATGGCGTGGGCCTCCAGAGCTCTGGACACCCAGCCCCAGGAGCGGCTTCTCGCCCCACGTCGTTTCTTCCGAGCTGCCGGACTTATGCGTCTGTTCCTCCTCCTCCTCCTCCTCCTCCTCCTCCTCCTCCTCCTCCTCCTCCTCTCCCTTCGTCCTCATCCCCATCATCATCCTTCTCCTTCTTCTCCCCCTCACGGTCGGGAACTTTTGGATAGCGCGTCGCTCCGCCAGTTCTGGGCCACCACTCTTCGACGCGACGCGCCATCCACGTCCCCATTTGCAAGCGCCACTGTCCCGAGCCTCTCCGAGCCTTCCGCCCCGCGGAGCGGAGCTGCACGCTCTCCGCTTGCAGGGCATAACGTGTCGCCGAGGCCGCTGCGGCGACGCTGTTCAAAAGTGCTCGACTGCAGGCCCTTCCTCATCCCCCTCCCACCCCCATGCCTCAGAGGGGCACCAGACGGAGATCGTGTGCGTGGCCTTCTCCCTGCAGGGCACGCTGGTCGCCACTGGCAGCATGGACAACACCGCGAAGCTGTGGGACGTCGACTCGGGGCAGCTGGTCGGCACTGGACGGGCGGGACATCGATCCAGAGAGAGGTGGCGAAGGATCCAGAGAGAGAGAGAGAGACAGAGAGACAGAAAGAGAACCTGCTGCTTAGAAACTGATCGGATCGTTCCTCTGGATTCGTGGCGCGAGACGGCGGTCGCCTCGGACCAGAATTGTGAGCACGACCCGGGGTGAGTCCGATCTCATATGCCTTGGCCGACAATGCCAGGGAAGCCAGCGCGCGCAGTATCGATATATCGATCTGTCTATGTATCTATATGTATATGTGTGTATATATACATACACATATATATATATATATTCAGATCGAGAAAGAGAGAGAGAGAGAGAGAGAGAGCGCGACCCAGAGGGAGCGATCCAGGATACGTAACGATTCCAGCGATTCCGAAAGATCCTCGGGCACGATCTCCACGATGATGGCGGATGGTGAGCTGGCTTTTTGCGCTCGTGCATGTGCAGGCTTCTGGCTTGGGGTGCCGTCCTCGAGGGACGGCATGGCGCGCGCAGCAGACGGGGAGCACGAGGATGAGGAGCAGGAGCAGGAGCAGGAGCAGGAGCAGGGGGTGAAACATCAGCAGGAAGCGGAGGAGCACGAGAACACACAAGGTTGACCATGACAACTAAAGGCAGGGTTAGGAGAAGGAGGAGCACAAGGAACAGAAAGTGAAGAGGACGAGATAGGTGGACGATGATGAGACGGGCGATGAAAAGGAGGAGAAGGAGGGGAAGTACAAGGTGGAGGAGGGAGGAGGAGGAGGGGGAGGCGGAGGAGAAGCAGGAGGAGGAGAAATTAGCATGGAGGGTGCAGATTGGAAGAGGGAGGGTTTTCGACGAGAGAGAATGGTGGAGGGATGAAAACGGGGAAAGGGGAGTGCGTCCTGACAGATTGCGCCTCTTACGACGCCGGGTTGTGATGAGGGAGGCGGGCGAGTGGAGAGCGCGCGGGAGGAGGAGGAGGCAGAGGATAAGGAGGAGGAAGGGGGCAGGGAGGACGCAGGACGCAGGAGGAGCGGAAACCGCAGGAGCAGCCCGATTGTTGGAGGAGCAGGAGCTGCGTGAGCAGCACGAAGACGACGAGGAACTGGAGGTGGAAGAGCTGGGCATTGGCCAGGATGGAGCAGAAGGGCGAGGGAGAAGGGACGCTGGATGAGAGACGAGGAGGGGGGATGATGCCGAGGACAGATGCAGTCCTGACGGTTTGCGCATCTTGCTGCTGGTTGCGCGTGCCACGCTAGGAGGCTATGCCTCCGACTGGGTGCTGGTGGCCGTTTGTTCTCCTCCACCCTCATCAACCCCCAATCCTCCCCTTATCATTCCCCAATCAGCGCTTGCACTGAAGGCGTCCTAGCGGAAAACTGAAAAATTTGGCGAAAGTGTCCCGCCGATTTTGGTGGCCGGCTGGGTTCCCGGTTCCGGGTTCCAGGGTTCTTGATTATTGGTTCCTGGCCGATGTCGGTGGGTTCCAGGTTCCCGGGTTCTTGGTCGATCTCTTTATCGATCAAAACATCCACGGATTGGGTTTTTCTCTGGTGTAATTATCCTCATGCCCCTCCTCTTCCTGACCATTATACTCCTTCGTTCGTGTCATTGCGCAACCCTTCCTCAGTTATTCCCATCACTATCGTCAGTGTCCTCACCATCTCTGCTTGGTCTGTTTCTAAGTATCCTCCTGATCCTCATCCCGCCTCGCCCTGTGTTTTCTCCCTCGCCCCCTCATCCTCCTTGTCATCATCTGAGCTGTGCTGGTCGTATCCTCCTTCCCCGCTTTTTGATTTTCCTCATGATCCTCGTCCTCCAGCTTCTGGGAGACTCGCCAGGTCGCATCCCTGGAAGGACACACAGCAGAGATCGTCTCCCTTAATTTCAGCACGGACGGAGACAAGGAAAGCCCCGCCAGCGGCAGTGATCTACATTTCATATGTTTGCATCCCGTCTCCTTCATTCTTGGCTTCCCTCCCTCCCTCCCCCTCCCTCTCATGATTGACATCCTGGTCATCTCTGTCCTCTCACTCTTCTTCCCGCATGTCCTCCGCGGGTTCTCTCGTCTCCTGCTGCTGTCCTCATGCTCCCTCTGCCCTCTGCCTTCCATTTTCCCTCTCGCTCTCCTTCACCTGCTCCTCCATGCCTTCACCGCACATCCCCTTCCTCATCCTCATCCCGTATACAGGCGACGGATGAGGCAGAGGAGGTTGTGGAGGCGCAGAGAGAGGATGGTGATGAGGAGGCGGAGGAAGGTAAGAACGAGATGTCATTGGTGCGGCGCTCAGGTGCTACTGGGTGAACTATTTCTAGCTTCCCAGCGCTCTGAATTCCAGTCCTCGCCTTCTCATCCACCTCGTCATTCCGTACCTCCTCCCGCCCTCCTTGCATTATCTCTGTCTCTTTCTTTTTCTCTTTTTCTCCATGCTGTTTCGGTCCTCATCCACTTCCCTCGTCCTCCTCATCTCTTATCCCTCCCGCAGTCCTCCCTCTGTCCTGCCCCTCCTTCTCCCTCCTCGGCCCCCAGGGTGGTACCTCGGCGCTTGGGCGGGGTCCTAAGGGATTTGAGTTCCGTCAAGACGTGGCCTGCGTGGGGCCTCCAAGGTCTTTTGCACATCCGTACCGCGCATCCTTCCGATACGGGTTGACTGTGCTGAGCAGGCGGGGGAGGCTCTGCGGCGCGCGGGCTGTGGGGCTGGTGCCGGGCCCCGCCACGTCCCGCGCCGCGCGCCACACGCGGCGGCCGAGACGGCGCCAGGGCCCCCGACGAGGCGTGGGGCGCCGCGCGCGGCGTCGCTGATCCGAGCGGTCGGACGCCGCATGCCTTGTTCTTGTTCCTCGGCAGGGGCCAGCGAGGAGCCTGCTGGGCCTTGCGAAGAAACACGCGCGCACGACGCCGACAAGCAAATGCACGGGGAAGGAGCGTCCGAGCGATGCCGAGAGCTTGTGCCTGCTGCCTCTGCACCTCCCCCTTATCCCTGGCCTCGCGTCGCCCCCGGGCCTGCCTCCGCCGCCCCCGGCGGGGCCGCGTGCTCGCTCCCTCTCTCGGCGCCACGGGGCCTCTTCCGAGCAGGCGTCGGCTGCCACAGCCTTCAAATGCCCCCGGCGCCCTGCGGCTTGCCCCGGCCTCCTCGGGCAACAGGGACCGTGACCCGGGCCCGCGCCTGGAGGGGCCGTGTGGCCTCCCCGGGAGTGCCTCGGGAGCTGCACGGCGCTGGTGGCTTCGGCGCCTCGAGGAAGGGGCACCTCCGTGTGTCAATGCGCCACGCTGATCCCGGGCTGGCTGTGCTGCCCGGCGGAAGGGGACGAGGAGGGGAGAAGCAGGCAGACGACGACGAATGCCCAGGCGGGAGGCCAGGGCCGGCGGGGCGGGCGGGCAGGCAGAAGAGGGGCCAGGTAGTAGCCTCACTGAGGTGTACGAGCACCCCGAACCCTAGTAGCACGATGAAGACGTATCCTCACTGAGGTCCCTGTCTTCGCCCTTCGCACCAGGTACAGCAGCTCCTGTATAACAGTGCCGGATGTTTTTTCACGGTCCATCAGCGAGAATAGATCCCCTATCCCTACTGCTGTTGGCCCTCCTGACTTAGGTCCCCTCCGAAAGGGTGAGGGGTCCTCCTATTACTAATCACAGTGTCCCTGCCCAGGCCCTGTCCATATGGATACTTCCATGCTCGGTGCTGGGCTTCACAGGTTTGCTCACCATCGGTGCAGTGCCGCTGAAGGAGGCCTTCCCGACAGAGCACAACGTCCGCGCTCGTGCTACCGTCCCACCACCTCCCTCCTCGTCGTCCTTCACCGCCTCCTTCTCATGCTCCTCGTCTCTTATCTTTCCCCATCCCTCTGAATGCTCGTGCCCACATTACTCCTTATCACGTCGCCCTTCGGCTTGTCCTCCCTCCTTGTTCTGCCTTCTCCTCGCTTACCCCCCTCCTCCTTACTCATTCCGTCTTAGCCCTCACCGGCGTTGTCCTCATCCTTGTGTACTCCCTGCCATGGCATCTAACCGCATTATCATTTGTCCTCTCTCCTCCTTCTCCTTCTCATCCGTCTCCCTCCTCCCTCCTCCGTCATTGTCCTTATTTCTCCTCCTCCTCCTTCGTCCTGCATTTCCTCGCTGCGCATGCCTCCTCTATCCTCCTTTCTCCCCTTTATCACCCTTTATTTTCGTCCTCCTAATCCTTCCTGCCTCTTCTGCCGACTCCTTCTCATCCTGTTTCTCCTTCTGCTTCCCCCATTCCTCTTACCTCCCCCCTCTCCTTTGCTCCGCTGCCGCGACTAATTATACCCAGCTCAGGAAAACCCGAAAACTTGAAACCTCCGAACACGTCCGACAGCATCGGAAACATTTGAAACATCTCTGGAACCCCAGAAGGCTTCTATGTAGTTGAGCTAGCCTGAGGGAACATCCGAGAACAGCCGGGTCTGTTTTAATATTCGGAATCGTCTAGGTACCCCAGATCGCTTGGAAACGCCAGAGGGAAGCAGACACGCCCGACTGCCTGCGGATGCCGCCAGGACTTCGAAGAGGCCCACACGACGCGTAGAGAACAAACCGAAAACATCCATATGCCCCTAGATCTGTCCCAGAGCACGCTCTGACGAGAACCTCGAGGCGGATCCTGCCGCGGCAGCGACAAGGGCGCCCCGAGAGGCCCCAGAAAAAAAGTGAACACGCGCCCAAATTCGGATCTAAACTCCTCCCTCACTCCTCCTCCTCCTCCTCCTCCTCCTCCTCCTCCTCCTCCTCCTCCTCCTCCCCCTCCATCCTTCTCTCTCCGGGGATCTCCGCGGCCCCGCTCAGATACTCACCGGGTCCTTCGACAATACCGCTAGGGTGTGGGACGCGCGGGGCCTAGACCGCCTTTTGCGCAACTCCGCCGCGGCAGCGTCGATGTGCCCCGCCACTGGCGCAGAAGGAGACGGGGAGAAGAAGAGAAGGTGAAGATGGGCGTTGGCGAGGTGGAGGTGAAGGAGGAGGGTGGAGGAGGTAGGGGGCAGGAGGGAGGATGAGGAGGAGGGAGGCTAGAGTTGGTGGGTGGAGGAGAGGGGTCAGAGGACTTACGCGTGCACTATAAGCGAGCAGACGATCCACCAAGGAGCGACCGCCCCAGCCTCCCCAGGCTGTCCCCCTGGGCGCTGGCAGCCCCCTCTCTCGCAAGAACTCTGCTTCGGCAGTGATTGTCTGATGGTGC